CAATATTTATTGTCACGAAACACAAAGTTGAACATTTACGTCTGATTTCTGATGTTCTCATTTACTGAGGATGTAGGATGTAGGATAACATGTCAAAATAAGAACTTGGGCAAAAGGACAACTGTAAATGTTCACAAGTGACTAACCAGTCATATAAAAAATGGAGGAAAAGGTTGATTTACATTTTTGTGTTTAACACCTGGACTGAACTGTCTCAAAAATATTTTAAGAATTTAAATCTGAACACATTTAATAACAGAACATTTTTATGCAAMCCCTTATTTATTTTGTGCTCAGTGAGAGKAGTGAGCTCTTGCTCGTCCTGCCAGAYTTTTAAACCTGGGCTTGAATGGAGTCAGTGCCATTCTCATGCATGTGTGGAGGTGCTCATTGGTCAGCCTGGAARGYTWTTTGTTTTTTATTARGTTRYRTGTGGAGAAAGCTGCTTCACAGTTGTGAGTGGAGCCAAACATGGTCAAGATCTGCAAGGTTACTTGCTTCAGACCTGGGAAAGCAGAATCAGGAATCATCTGGAGCCAGATCAGAAGGATCGGTCCTGACAAACTGCTCCTTCAGGGACAAATCTGCTTGGAGATCAACTAACTGCATCTGTAAATGCCCAGCATTTGCCCATTTGAGGTGCTTTCAATTTTTGAATTTTTCTGGGTAATTTTTCTCAAACTCTCATTCGTCATCGCTTTGCTTGGCGGTATCACGTGGTATYGCGAAACTCGCAGGTAATTGGTCTGTGGGTTTCCTTTGACATTTGATCACCTACCTACTGTAAAAGCTGCGCTGGTAAACCAGAAARGGGTCTGCYCACAGAATTTGAGCGACCACAAGATTAATCACTAATTTATTAACAAGGGAATATTAAAAATGACACGAAACAGCAACGTGTGGAAGTTTCGTTCTCCCCTGCCCCCTTCTCTCTCTAACGCAGAGGGGCGAGCAGCGGGGGGGTTGTGTGTGTGTACGGGTTTTTTCTACAACGGGGTATTTTTTACAAAAAAAAAAAAAAAAGCAGCCAGGTGGGGACTGAAGTGAATCGTGGGGACCAATGTCAGGTCCCCACGGGTCCAAATGCATGTTCCAGGTGTGGGGTTTAGGTTTAGGACCAAGGTTTAGTTTTAGGGTCAGGTAAGTTTCTGTGAGGTTAATTTTAGAGTATATGGTCAGGGTTAGGCTATACAGTGGTTTGCAAAAGTATTCATACCCCTTGAACTTTTCCATATTTTGTCACATTACAAC